ATAGGAGAACAACAATAGTTTATATGCCAAAAACAAAAGCTACTCCATGTGACCTCGTGTTTTTGTATTGTTACAATACAATTATTAAATACTACAACTAATTGCATAGCGGCTAAAACTAACATTCCGAATTTTACAAAAAATAAAAACCTGAATTGATCAATTATATTGAATGAACGCATTAAATAAATAGAAGATCAACAATAGTTTAAAAGAAAAAAGAAAAAAACTCCTCTCTGTGACCCCATATTTTTGTATTGTTAAAATACAATTATTAAATACTAAAATTAATTCCATGACGGCTAAAACTAGCATCTTAAATGCCCAAAACTTAAAATACTACTAAATTTCTGATGTTTTCTAAACAAGCATGTCAAAATTAATTTTTTTTAACTTGACATTTTTTTAGTATAAACTTTTACACATGAACAATAATAAGCGTGCGTAGCAGTCACATAACTTTTCTCATATGTCATTCGTCATCTTCATGAAAATGATGAATTTAAAATTTTAAATTGAGTATTATTTGATGATCATATAAAAATAATGATTTTAACTTGGTCTCATTCTATTGTTATTATGTCATATTTGTTGACATTTGTTTGCAAGATTATGTCTTGGACTTAATTACTATTTTTATTTTTGTTATCCAATTATGCCATAGTGAATACTTCTTTTATTTAGTAATGGGATTTGCTACTTGAATATGCTTATACTTTTATTTCTTTTTAATATATATGTTATTTTGTGAAATATATAATTTAATGTTCAAAATAATACCCCGTATTTTTTGTCCTAATTTTTTGTAACAGATACCGTATTATACACGTATACGTATGATGGAGTATATGGCCCATGGACCCCCGGCCCATGGACTCCTGCTTCTCATACATAGGCCCATTGAGCCCAAGGAGCATTCGAGGCCCAAATACAGCGGCCCAAGTCTCAAAGAAGCCCAAAATACACACTGGGGTGCCTTCGGCCTCCTTGGCCGAGGGCTCCGAATTACACAGGGCAGCCAGATTCGAGCATGCAAAGCTACTGGGAGAAAATGGCAGAAAGCAGGAGCCTTCGGCACTTTAATGCCTTCGCATTAGGGAAGCCTTCGGCTGTACGACGCCTTTGGCTACACAGGCCCTCGGCCGTAGGGGGGAGCCATCGGCCAACAACTCAATCATCGAAAGATTCCCTTTGGAGACAAGCAACCACCGCATTTAATGCAACGTCACATCCACCCACCGCATTCAATGCGGTGCACGTGCAATTGCCAGTACCGCCCGATTGAGGTGACCCCTAGCTCGGCCGTTAGATTATCGCCACGTGTACTCTCATCGCATTTATTACTACTATAAATAGCAGCCCCTTTCCCCGTTGTAAAGGACCAGAACATCTCGAGTTCATAAATATAATCGCCTCTCTCCTACTTGTTTGCTCTGACTTCTCTCTAGGTTATTTCCCGCAATAACCCCTCGGATAAGCTACCCCCCGGGTACACTGTCCATCATTTGGTGCTCTCGTTGAGAGGTCCGAACAATCAAGTAAGAAACACTTCCCTTCGCCAAACACAAAAACACCTACCAAAATGGGAAGAACTCGTGGTCAATCTAAAACCCTCGAGGAAAACCACGTAGCCCCCGGCGAAACCAACTGGGCCGAAGCCTCCAACAGGCTCTTGGTACCCGAAGGAGGTACTACCCTCGAGTTGGAGCAGGCTGCCACTGACCTCCGTCAGCAGCTGCAGAAGGCTGCCCCCGATGCCCGCATCGGCCTTGATAATCGAAGGAAGGATCGGGGTGAGAACCAAGTTCCCCCTCCGGCTCCAACCATCGATCTTCAGCCTTCGTCTAAAACATTGCGGCGAACTCCGGTGCCTTCGTTTCACAGGCACCGCTCCAACCCTATTTTGGAGGAAACGCCGCCTGTCTGCCTCCCCCACTTCTGTTCAACAATCCCGTAATACGGATTGGCAACGCCGAGGGGGTCGTAGCACAAGACACCGCCTCCCAGAAGGTTCAATCCAAGATAAACACCTCAAGGAGAAGCCTCGAACCTCTGCCCTCGAAAGGTTGGGCCAGACTCAAGGACGCCGAGGGGTCCAAGACCGCTTCGGTGGGAAGGCGACCAGCAAACCACAGGAGAGTGGAGGCTCCGTCACGGGGCCGAGGAAAGAACACTCCCTCGGGACAAAGGCAAGCGCCCCCTCCATGCTGACGACGCCAGGCACCAAATCAATCAGGCCCAATCCTTCCGGGCACACTCCCAAGGGGTTGTCCTGAAGGACCCCAAGGATGAAATCATTGAGGTCCTCCTCCGACAGCTCGAGGAGACACGCCAGGCACCCCCGACGGCTTTCACGTCGGGACCAAATCCGGAATACGCCGCCCTCCGGGCACAAGTGGAGGAAATGAAGCGCAAGTTCGCCGAGGGCTCAGATGAACCCCTCATCCAACTCTGCACTAGAACGCCTTTCACCCCAAGGGTGCTGGCGGCTAAGATCCCCAACAAATATCGGGGACAACCCATCAAGCCATATGAGGGGAAGACGGATCCCCAAGAACATTACAGCAGATATCAAAACAGCATGATGATGATGGAGGCCTCGGATGAATATTTATGCCGTTGGTTCCTCTCCACCTTGGAGGGACCAGCGTATGAATGGTTCAACCGATTACCCGAGGGCAGCATAGATTCATGGCAAGAACTTGCCCACCGCTTCCTCACGCAATTTGCCGGGAGGTACCGGTCGAAGAAACACTTCTCCCACCTCCTAAACGTAAGGCAACAGAAGGAGGAGACCCTTCGAAGTTTCCTTGAACGCTGGAGGCAAGCCTCCATCGAAGTCGATGGGGCCGACGACAGGACTTTGATGGCCCTCTTCCACACCGTCCTCCGCAGCGGTAATTTCTCAAGGAGCCTTATCACTGATCCCCCCCCCCCCCCCCCCCCCCGCGATTATACAAAGGCCCTCCAGCGGGGGGACCGATACGCCGAGGCCGAAGAGATCGAGAAGGATCGCCGCAATCCGGAGCCTTCTCAGAAGCATGAAGGCAGAAACCGCCCCGGGGGGCCACCCCCTCTGGCGAACCGCGAGGTACAATACAACGATCGTCCCCGAGGTGGACAAGTCAGACCCGGGGGCGGTTACAAGAACAGACCGAAGGCATGGGCACAACCCGTCCTCCTGGAGCACCCACGCACTCCCCTGACGCATCCCGTCAGCATCATCTTGGATTACGCGGAAGAGCGAAGCCTCGTGGAGCGAGACTCCCGTGCACCCCTCGAGGTATATGCCATCAACCCTGATGAGCCTTATTGCCGTTTTCATCGTCACCATGGGCACAAAATTGATGACTGCCATCAGCTGAAGACGGCCATCGAAAGGCTAATACAAGCGGGCCACTTGTCTCAATTTATCAGGGGCCCTCCTCAGGGGGCCCCTCATCACCAAGGGCCCCCGCCGAAAGCTCATAAGTGAGTGAACCCAAACACCATCCCCTTGGGAAACCAACAGGGGAAGAAGCGAGAAATTGGGAACCTCAGTGAGGAGGAGGATCCCCAACACCAATACAAGCGCCACATTCACACGATCAATGGTGGCAACACCGGAGGCGACTCCACGAGCCAGAGAAAGAAATGGGCTCAATTCCTTTACACTCTTGCAAGGAGGTTCTATCCCGAAGATTTTACTAGTCGGGATATTCGTGTTTTGGAATTTGAGCTGCAACACTATGTTCACGATCGATGTGATTCCTAATACAAAATTTCAAGTATTTACACTTGTTGAATTATGTGAGGAGTTGACTAAGAGCAGAAGATCTGATTCATATGTTATGGAGAGCAGATTGATTCGCCTTGTATTGATCTTAGCTATTGCTAAATCAAATAGAGAGCGGTCATTCTCTCTCATGAAACTTCTAAATACAACACTCTGCAACAAAATGGCGGATGACTTTCTGGCAAATTTCATGACACTTTATATTAAAAGAGACTCTACTCTTAGTATAGATGTAGGCTCTATTGTTGACTCATCGAGAACAACTTTAGTGGAGAACTTTTATATTTGTTTTTTTCCCTTATTTGAAAATTTTTAATGTATTACTCCCTCCGTCCCACTAACAATGGGACAAGAGGGAGTGACACACAAACTAATAAAAGTGGGTTATGTGGTTGATATTGAATTGGTAAAGTAAGAATAAAGTAAGAATAATTTGGAGCCACACAAATTTTGCCTAATTTGGTATGGGACAATCTTAGTGGGACCGACCGAAAAGGAAAACGGGACAATCTTAGCTGAACGGAGGTAGTATCATTTAAATGTTTGAGTCTACCCCAACATGAAATCCTGGATCCGCCCCTGGACCCGGATTAATATGAATATGATTTACTATGTCCATTATTATAACGTCATTAAGAAACTACGAATTGTCATCACAATTACCTCACTAAGATTAAGAGTCTTTTAACCTTGGTAGCTTCCACATGCATGCAACTGCAGGTTAGAACACGTTCTTTCACTCACTACACACTCCGGCACATACAGGTTATGCATTTCTTGTGATTGTCATATATGATCATATACCACCGTCTTTATTTGATTGCTTCCATGAGTTTTTCACATAATTTATGAATTATGATGAAAATAGTATAAGTGAATAGTTGGGTAGACATGATGCAAAAGTAGAAGGTCGAAACGGTAAAAATAGATGATGAAAAGTTAATATATCATAATTTATGTGAATTAAGGGTAAATTAAGAGTACAAGTTGTCAAATTCATGGGGCATATCATAATTGCCCCACAGAAAGGAATATATAATACAAATAATAAAAACGGGGGAGTAAGGGGAGTATCATTCTGTGTCCTTGCAATTTGCTGATAGTCTGATACCCAATGAGTTTTGGCACTACATTTGAAACCAACCAAAAAATGCTGGATGAATTGATAAAGCAAACTACTTTTCAAGAGTTCAGAAACCACAACAAAACCTCAAAAACAAATTACTTGATTGAAAAGAAATGCACGCATTGTATTAATAATCGGTATTGTGTCAAAAAATAATTCCAATGAAAAACAAATAAAAGAATTAGCAAACTGTGAAAGAGGCATCTAACATTCTAACCTGATAAGCTTATTCTTTGTTACACCACTAACCAATCTACCTAGCTAGAGCATGATGGCGACTAATACTTTCTGTACAACAAATTCCATGGTCAATTCCCATATATTCTTTCATGGAAAGGGACCTTCCTATGTTACAATAAAATAATCTATATAGTTCTATGTTCTGTACAAGACTAATGCATACCTGTAGATCTTCTTCCCCTTTACACTTCCCAATGGATATATCTCTGGCGCCATGTGCAAAGTCGATTACTCCTGTCTGATCATGGCACATGGAGGGAGAACATGAAAGCAATAACATCTACCCTCCAAAACTGCACTTTCAGGCCCCATTTAGCTTCGCCTGCTGAGCCATAACTGGCACTTTCAGGTTCATAAGCCTTGAAAATGCACTTCATACTTTGAATCCCACGCAAACTAAAGTACTTCGAAAGTAGTTTAGATTTTTTGTGGTTGGTCCGCTAACCGCTTGCACCGATTTTCTGGTACCATGCATTTCATGGGATTGTCATTCTTTAGGACCCCTCTTTGTAAGGTTCATGCCTTTAGCATTCTCTGTCTCAGCCTCCTTTAGAGCTTTTTTCCTTTCTAATTCAGCCTGTTTCAAGTTCTCCTCATGGGCTTTTCTGAACAACCTCACAAAGTTTAAGAGGGTTGCAGTAACTGCATCAATTAACAAGAACCGCATGTATGAGATTCACCATTTTTTTGACACATAAAGTGCCCAAATCGTGATATTGATTGACACTAATTCATTAACTAGACTTGGGAAGGACTAAGGAGGGATCAAGAAACAGTACTTAAAATATATTGGGCACTCAGAGTCACTTTAGGTTCATGTGAAATTCATTTCTGCTCCTTTTTTGGTAAACTTAATTACAGGTTCCACTAGATTTATAAACCACTTCATAAAGTAACAAATTTATCAAATACCACTCCCATGCATGTGGAAGAAAATGATTAAAATCCTTGTTTTATTGCGTGGGGTTAGCTAAAACAACTAAATAAGATTCTTATGATCATCATCACCTACTTAAACGGCTTCAGCACACTCCCTTTGTGCTTCGAAATATCAGCATCGTTTATTCAAGGCTAGACAATATTTGAGAGCAATTTCTCTGACATTGTTTCAATCTCCATCATTTAAAGATTTTTAAAACAGTATACAGCATTTAACCATGCTATGCCTTTGCCCTTTGGTCATCGACCCAACTGGGCCATCAATATTTTCTGATACAGTCAAGCTTGTTTGGTCCTCTAAAATAAAGATTTACACATTCCATCACATAAAGTTTATAGAGGTCTGTTTAATTTTTAAGAATGAACACATAAAACTGTTTGAGGTGATATATTAATTGCCATAAAGCACATCACATCCAAAAGAAATACTTGGAACTAAAGAAGGTACCAATAGACTTTCCAACCTTGCTCAAATGGGCAGCGGGCAGGATCCTCACCAAAATACAGTGCCAGTGCATCTGCATTCCTTCCCTGTTTATCAAAAATATAAAGCGTAGATCAGTGGGAATTCGAATTAATAACAATTCCAGAAGTGGAAAGTGATCAAAGTGGAACTTAATTCACTTTGGCAAGGGAATCACCCTCACACCTATCCCTGGTCATTCACTTTCACAAAAACAACATCCAGGCCTTATTCCCAAAAGATTTTGGGGTCGGGTAACATGAACCGATCCATGATATTCACTTCCAATGGGATACAAATTAAAAGCTAACATTGATCGCACTATCCATCCAAGCTAAAATTTATTGCTATTCAAAGCGCAGCCCGGTGCACATTGGCGTCCCCGCAAGGCGAGGGTCCGCGTAAGAGTCCCACCACAAGGGTATAAGGAGCAAGCCTTCCCTTGTCATTTTGACAAGAGGCCGCTCCCAAGACTTAAACCGTGACCTCTAAGCCACACAGCCACCGTAACTGAACACAAGGCTCCCCTTAAAAGTTTATTTGTTATGAAGGGGTAAGACGAGTGGAAAGTTGTTTATACCTCCCAATAAAAGTAAACATGTTCTATCATAACAAACACCCTCGTTCAAGATAAAATACAAATAAATAAGTAGAGAGAAGAAATGCTTGAACAAACCGCTGTGGAATATAGATTTGTTACAGATGTCACCTCTGTTTCAGCAACTCCAATGAACTCTTTTAGTGTCTGTTTATTATGAGTGAATGAAAAAATAATTAGAATTAAAAAAAAAAAGATTTCAGTTTCAGAATAGAACCCACATAGAGCATCTTTTTGCCTAGAGTCAAAACTTCATGCAACAAAAAACAATAAAATAGTTTGTGAAAGAGAAACAGCAACTTTTTTTTTAAATCTTAAAAATATGCAGCAGCCTTAGACTCTTAGCATACATTGTGCACGCCTAGTCCACTTCAAGATGCAAAGACATTCAACACAATTCTTCCCCTAAGTAAAAATGTGATGTTAATGATGGAATATTTTTCTAGCTAAAGGGTCAAATAGGCCCTTGAACTGACTTAAAGTGTTCAATTAGCCCCTTATATAGGAGGTTCTGCCCGGCCGTCGCTAATTGGGGCGGTTCCCGGTGGAATTTTTTGATGAAATTTTTTTAGCATCTTCTTCATTAAGTCTAGTTTACCCATACCAAATTTCAGCTAAAAATTCAACTGATAAGGCAGTCAAATGATTTTCCGAAATGTACTGTGTTGTTTAACTTCACAGTTATCTTCAAAAAATCATTTGACGACCTTCCCGGTTGAATTTTTAGCTGAAATTTGGTATGAGTAAACTAGACTTAATGAAGATGCTCAAAAAATTTCATCAAAAACTTCCACCGGGAACTGCCCCAATTGGCGACGGCTGAGCAGAACCTCCTATATAAGGGGCTAATTGAACACTTTAAGTCAGTTCAGGGGCCAGGGGCCTATTTGACCCTTTAGCCTATTTTTCTTTATCTTCCTTTGTGTCTTAGAAGATTTCTTAAGTTTTGGCTTATAAAGATGAAATCATTTTTATTTGTTTTCCTTTTTTTTTGGTAAAATTTATTTGTTTTCCTTTGATGCATCTTAAAAAGGACTGTTGGATAATCAAGAGTGGATAACAATGAAATACAACTGAATGAGAACATCAAATGCTAAAGTACCTTCCGGAAAATTTCAGATACAGGTCCATCATTCTCGGACGCAGCCAGTTCAAGCTTTAATTTTTCCAGACCCTTGATGATGGCTTGCATTTCCTCAGCTAAAGATTTCAATTGTATCTGATGGCACAAACCAATATTTAGGGAAATACTCTCTCCATCCTAGGTAAAGGTTTTTAATGGCCTTTGGACAGCCCCATCTAAAGGATCCCGCTCCTATTTTAGGAAACAATTTGCACTCTTAAATGACAACATAATTAAATATTAAAAGTAATACATCTATGACATCACAGTAATCATCAATTACTCCATTATGTTATATATAGTTATATACCCATCCAAACTACTTCTCAAAATATACTTGAATTACCTTATTCACTTATTGTCTAAATAACAATGCCATTTTTCAATGGGATCCTTAAGCCGAGACGGAGGTAGTAATAATTATTTCCTGAGTTCCTTTGTACTTTGCATTAACAATAAACACAAAAAAAACTAAATACTAGCCTTAGATGCAGCTTCTAGGCTTGCAAAATCGTCATGAAAGTCCAGAAGTGCAGGTGACCTTGAAGCAAGAGCCTGATGGAAGCCAAAGGAAATAATTAGCGAACATGACCTCCAAAACACCCAACTCTAATTTGAGCAAAGGGGAAGAATAAGGACATGATAGAAAATCAAGAAAAAAACACTCCCATTATATGAAGGGAAAAACTGTAGAATCGGAAAAAAGATTTACTGCATTATTAGAAAACAAAATTAGGTTAGTAAGCACCACTGAACCAATCCTCTACAAAAAGTTACAGAGCTAGTATATAATGATTATATATTGATAATCATGTGTCAATCCATTTGGAGAACAAATCGCTCACAGACACGATTATCATGCACTGAAGATGCTTATGACAGTGAACAACCCTGAAGCTTTTGGTCAGATATGTTGGGAAGGCATAATTTAGAGCGTCATAATACCTTATATAGGTAACATGACCGAGACATCAAAACCTTACAACGTCAGACACAGATGAGTCTATAAATCATGCATACCTTTTGTGTGCGAATTCCTATGTCATTATCCAAAAAGTAAATACAGAAAAGTTACTTATGGTCATTCTTCTAGTTTTAAGAGAAGTATCGTATCCAAATCCTACCTCTTAGAAACTTCTAAATAAACAACCTCTTACAGAAAAATGAACGTGAAAAATAGATCTACTAATAGCAGAAGGAGAATAGTGAAAAGGATGTACAAAAGAAAAGAGGAACTTATTAAAGTATAATCTCATAACGGCCAAATGTATAATTCAGTCCATCCAAATGGAATCTGATTATGAGTATAGTTGATAAATGGCAGACTCATCTTTGAAAGCACCCACAGGGTTTTTTACCTTGCAAAGTAATGTACATATGATGTATTAATAGTTAATACTGTTGTTTATACTAAGTTCCAATTAGACCATTATGTTTTTCCTAGTTCATAACTCATGCTTTCATAGGAAGTCTGGGGGTTACAATTTCCTCATTAGTTCGGGAATTGTATTTTCCTGGTTATTCAAGTTTAGTAACTTGTAAATAGTGGTTGTTCTTTTCAATTGTTAGGGAACATTAACCTTTGTTTTATGGAAAAATTGACAAGAATAATCTCACCTTTCACTGGTCTTCTCATAATAATCCCACCTTTAAATAATCCCAAAATAATCCCACCTTTGCACCTCATCTTCTTTCATTGGACCTTGACCAAGTTTTTTACCTTTTTTAAAAATCTTATATAAATAATCTCACATTTATAAGGATAAAATTAAAAAGTGAAAGGTGAGATTAATTGTATAATTTTCAAAGAAAGAGTAAAAAACATGATCAGGGTCCAATGAAAGAAGATGAGGTCCAAAGGTGGGATTATTTTGGGATTATTTAAAGGTGGGATTATTATGAGAAGACCAGTGAAAGGTGGGATTATTCTTGTCAATTTTTCCTTGTTTTATTAAACATTGGATTACTCCTATCAGTCAATATATTTCGTTTAGTTCTACAATTATTCAAATATGTGTATATCTGTTACTAAACCGGCATATTATATGTGTCTGTTCTTTTGGTTGTAAGCTTCTGCTTGCATCAGTTGGTATGCAGAGACCAGCCCACGCTCCTTGCGTGATGCCCCATTGCCCCAATGACAAGACAGCACTCAAATCCATCATAGGTGGCTTATTGTCGCAACACATAAAGAACCTTCAGACTCAAAAGCAAAAACTTTTGAGGCCATGACCACTTGGTTTAGTGTCAGACAGAACCTACCAATGTAGCGAAAGACGTGGTCAGCGTGGGGAGCGCACTCAGCGCAGCCATGCTGAGTGGTTCAGGACACCTGCGATCGCTGCACAATCTTTTTTATGATGAGAATACTGTTTCCATAAAAAAGCCTTTTGTGTCATTCGCACACCACAATGAACCACTAGAGAATTTTCTCAGAGATTTTCCTGACTTTAATGGGCTTCTAGTTTTTGAAGAAACTAGGTATTATGAAGAATTTCATGCCTGGGGATCATGGTGTTATTTTGAACAACTTCATTTCTCATAATGGGACCCTAGTTATGAAATTTTCTTGGTATCATTGTTTGAGAATAGTTGCATTATTCTTTTGCATGAACAGTGTTAGAAAAAATAGGGAGAATATATATCAAACAAACAAGCTATGAAACTAGTTTATGTTCATTACCTTACAAAGGTAATGCATGAGTGTCATCTTGTTGTTAGTGGCACGAGTATCAGTAAGTTTTAAAAGACTGTCCAACTTGTACCCAACAGCCGAACCTGGCAAAAGGTAGATATATTGAATTTAATCCTGAGGGTATACTGCAATTCTGCAAACATTTTCAGACTATACAGATAAATAAAATCAGACATTCAGATCAGCCGATTAAGGCCTAAGTAAACAATAACTTATTTGTGTTTAGATGAACGCAATATTTAGTCTCCTTTTGTGCAATATAAAACTTGTTGTGGTTTCTCAATAATCCAATGCAGAAATGGTTCAGAATATACAGATCCATACAGCTTTGGCGTTCATACTTCATACGACTAAATGGACTACGGAGAAAGTGGCTCATAAATTTTATTTATCTATCATTATACAGAGTATTATTGGAGTTCACAAAATTTTCAAGATTTCTTGAAATAGAGTGCATTATTTAGCATATGTGTGTACATGTGCGTGTGTTTATGTGTTTGTATGTGCATGCGTGAGTGTGTATACACACACATATGCCCAAGACCATGTCAATAAGTTCTTACCTCTGGCAGTTCCCTGATTTAACGTGTTTCCCAGTTGTAATATTCTCCACATGACTTCTTTCAGTTTATAAGAATTCCGGACCTGAAGCTTGCAAAAGTTAAATACAGCAAAAACAGATCTAAAAAAGCCAAAATGTTGTAATACCTCTTCACAAGCAGAGTTAACAGTAGACAAACTTTTTCGGAAATCTGAGACCTAATGAAAGAGTCAATTTTAGACGATGGTGACAACAACAACAAGATCTAGAGCTTCAGAATATGAAAAAATGTGTTAAAACCTGGGAATTAAATTGAATCTTGAAGAGAAAAACTCTTAATTTTGATTCCACCCGTGGTACCTTCATCAGTTCCAGAAAAAACTGAAAATTCACATTAAGTAAAGAAAAGGTAAGAGCTTATCATCCTCTCTATATTATCTTATTATAGCTTATTTAAAATTTCAAATGGATTAATAGATTGATTAGTTTAAACACTAATTATGTGTTCAGTTCATGTGTATTGGAATTTTGAGTGGTAGGAATATGAATAAGAACATCACTGAAGTGTTTACTGTCGGTGGAAAGAGCATAGGCTTTCCAATTCCAGTCTTGCCCTTATACAAAGAATATGCAGTGGTAATTAAAATGAGTTGGATAGTGTTTTTTGAATGACTTAGCTTTTGTAATTCAATCACTAATTCACTATTATTTTTTATTGTTGTTTCACATAATTAAGAATTCTATAGTGATATACCACTTCCACTTTTATTATGGAGTTATTTTAATCCAGATTTGATGATGAATAAGAATATATTTTATTATTTAATTTACAACTTCACTTATTTGCAATAAAAATAACATGTAGGTGGGTTCTTTGAGCTTTTGAATATAATAAAATAATTAGGGGAATGAGAGTGACATTCCCATCCACTCCCTAGGAGTGCCATTCCCATCAATAAGTCCTGAATTGGCGGGTCTTAGGACTTAAGGACACCGGCTCCCATTCGAGTGGTAATACTAATGCTACCAAGCATCATATTTGAGTTAATTTCATACTGCCATCGATTAGAACTTCAAGTAAGCAACACCCTAAACAAGTCTGTTGATTAATCATCAATTGCACTTGTCATTTTTCATTTCATTTTCATTTACCCCAGTGCCGCAAAGGCTCCCACCTACGGTGGGGTAAGGGGGGGTCGGATGTATGCAGTCTTACCCATGTACTAAAGCACAGAGAGACTGTTTCCGGATGACCCATAGTGAAAATCGCGTCCAACATTGCATGGACTGACTGCTGCTTCATAACAAAGAAGCGCAGACAATTTAGTGAGTCATTTTGCTCTATTCCATTATATTCTCAAGCCAAAAAATAATGAATCTTTGACTCCATTGCAAATGATGGAAAACATCAATTGCACTTGTGAGGTAATAAATCAATGAACAACAATATGATTGCAAAGATACCACTAGCTGACTAGCACGATACTATGTGGCATAAATCCTCTGTCTTGGCCCAGTGTCCCAAATTCTATCCCATCCTTTTAATTAACCCATGTGGTACTTTTTCATGAACTGTGTTGGTTTATTTACCCTCAAGGCTTCAACCTAATTAACATGATAATGATGATATGTTATCTACTTATTGCAAGTACTATATATAATACTCCATTGTCCCTTATAACTTTGTCATCTTTCCTTTTTTATTGTCCCAAAACATTGCCACTTTCCCTTTTAATCAATTAATTTGTGGTTCATATTATTTCTCTATCCTCTGCACAAATCTCAACCACACAATTCTTACTTTATTATTCCCAGTGCCGGTCAAAGTTATAAGGGACGGAGGGAGTATCTGTTTACAACTTCACATAATTCTGATAATCATTTATTAACCACTGTTACTTTACACATCATCAAATATCACTTCAAATAGTGAATCACTATTTCCACTCGATGTATTTGTAATAGATTAATACAACAACAACATTCAAGCCTTATTCCCAAAAGATTTGTAATAGATTAATAAACAATAAAATTAATTTATTTATTATGAATTTAAGAGTAAACTGTTTGTTTTACAAAACAAGTCTGCAACATTGCAAAGCAGCTAGCAGAAGATTTGTTTGAATAAGTCTTGCACATATACATATCTAGTAAATTAGTGTTAATGTATAATGAGAATTATGAAGTGTCAACGATTGGCATGCATTGGATTAAAAGAGTAACAGCTTATTGTAAACTGACCATCTTTGAAATAATATTTAAATATGATCAGTCTACAGAGACATCTTGAAAACATTAATGACTTGCTGTTAATTGATTGTACGTCAAATACAAGTTATTAGCCGGTAACAAATTGTGTTATTGAGTTGAAGGTTGGGATGGGCACAAGACTAGGACAGAGATTTGCTTTGCATACTATGTAACCCCAACTGTCTATTTCTTCACTATGCATACTGAATAACATTCTTTATATATCATCCAACAGTAAAAGAGTCACATTAAAAACAGAGCAATCAGCAGAAAATCATTTGCACAACAAACAGCTAGATTCCATCAACCATAGAGGCACATTCTAAAAGAACTATACTGCATACGACAATATAAAGAAACATTGCATTATAAAGTACACACTACACAATTTAGAGGCATACCTGTTCACACTTTCCCAGATTATCCTTGTCACCAGTGTAATTCTATGAAGCCGTAACCGAAAATGAATAGACATAAGTTAAGGAAGGTACATTTCATCATTTAGCAGAGAGAGGGGTTCAGATCATAGGGAGGAAACAATACTCAAAGGTATAATTCTTTTTGGAAAAACTACAGTTTAAGACCAATTAATTTCACCTTAAGAAGTTCCATTTCTTCTTTAGTAGGACAAAACTTAATCAGATTTTCTACTTGATCAGCATCCAAGATTGAATGATCCATTGCCAATGCAGCAGCCTGCTTGAATAAATGAGATCAGGGAAAAGGAGAAGTACTGAAAATAAATGTTAAAGAGAAACATCCCTGAAGTACATGCTGTGTTAACAGTTTATCATTTTAATGTTAATGTATTATTAAAAAGTTGAATTGATTAATGTGTATAAATTAAATAAATAATAGTAGTAGAAATTCAGTATTTTCTCAGAGCCATAAGCCTAAAATCTATTTTTCATCTAAATAGTTCTTTAACACAAATAAAACTAACAAACAAATTTAATCAATATTTTTTAAAACAATAGTGTGCATTTTAACTAGCAAGTCATTTTGAAATATGTTTAATTTCATAAGTTAATTACTCTGTAATGCTGACCCCAAATTTCTGTTTTACTTTAGATATAAAAAGAAAAACACCTGCACACAAAAGGTTTATGCAAGTTTCGATTTTATGTATTTCTTTATACACTACTTTTTATTGCAGAGAAGTCCACCGGGAAATTAAACATTTTTTAACATGGATGCAGTTGTTACTAATTAAAGTTCATGTTAATCTATTTCATAAATCACAATTCTCAATTATATTTTCAAAGATAAATTTAATTTTATTAAAATACTTTTTGGACTGCAAAATAGATTTTAAGTATGTGTGTGTGAGAAAATAATGTATATGTACTACTATAAATGTAGTTATTTTAAATTACATTCATAATTAACGTATGCAGTTGTAATAGTACAATGGTAGTAATGTAGTATATGAGCTGCATGTGACTAATAGCATGCCATATGGCAATTTGTGGCATGCCATATGGAAAATAAGGGATAAATGGAAGGAAAACTAACCGAAAGGACCAAAATGATACAGATTATAAAGTTTGGGGACTATGAGTTAAAATCTTTAGTTTAAGGACCAATATGAGGGAAATATTTTGAGAACCAATATACATTTTACCCTAATTCACAATATTTTACCAAACTATGATGCTTTGTTTTCAATGTACCAACTAAAGAAGGACAAGGAACATAGTCTCATAAAAACCTTGGTACTAATTTCCTCAAATCCAGGAAACTAATGCATGAACTAGTACCCCCTAATGTGCAACCATCATTCCAAATCATTGAGTACAAAACAGAATTGCATACCCATTTCCTATAAGCCATAGATTATACGATTATCCTTAGTCCTAAGTTCCTAACTATAAGAAGCCGGTAATTAATTGAGTGATTAAATAATTAAGCATAGCATAGAGCCTGCTCTAGAATGAACAACTGGGGATGTTTGAAATACGGACGATAAAAACTAACCATCATGTCTGGAAGTGGAATCTTCACTTTCGTTAACATGATTTCAGTGTTGTTGGCCCTTCTCAAGTCAACCTATCAAACACAAAAAAAAAAAAGGGTTAATGTTGAACTGTCAATGGACAAGAAAAGCAGAAAGAAACAATCATATGGCTCTATGGAGTAGTTATCCTCTGAGCTGCCCAACCGAGTCCATCCACACACAAAAAGACATGAAAACAAAGTGTAGAATAAGTCACTTTATTTCGATCTTCCCATACATACTCTAAAGGCGCCATATGTACAAAACTACACTGTAGGTACATTAACTTCATCAAAAAAGAAAATTGTTAAAGAGTTTTGATCTGTTGTACCAAAAAAGGTTTAGATAAATATAACAACCAAAAACCAATTCCAAAGAGACATGCAATTGAGGTATGTTTCCTTATGTCTAACCAGAGATGCTAATCGATCAGTTATGGGTAATGAGTAGCATTCCATGTACAAGGTTAGTTGATAAAATCTAACCTCTAGCTGGAAAGCTTATTTATTCCATCAGGAAATACTCAATATTATATTACAGTGGTTAACCCCATATCCAATCATAAGAAATTAGATTTGCAAAAGGAAAAATAATAAAATTTCACCTGGATGCAAAATTACACACACACAAAGATGTACTACCTACAGGTCGTGCACCCCAAGAAAGTAATGTTTCTAAATCTAATAATATAAACAGTATGTCAAGTACAACTCTCTCATCAGGATGGGTGAGTTTTGTTTATTAACATTGAATGATTTTAAGTTTTAACATGTAAAAAATGCTCTATGTGCATGCATGCTTAAAAGAGGTCGGTTTCATGACTTGTTCCACTCAAAAAATCTCATTGGGGGGGTCAGGAAAAATAGTGCATAGTAGTCAAAGAAAGATGCTAAATCACTGGGCATTAATCAACCATAACATCCCACAAGCACAAACAGTGAAAAAGAACCACCCATTCATGGGATATTAGGTCTTCAAAAATGAGTGAACTTTTTGTACTTCATATCTTATTACCAGATGAACCCTATCAGGTTTAGATCCAAGAGATTTCCGTCTCCCTCCAGATTTGTCACCTTTATCTGACTTTGGGGCTATGGCAGAGAAAAGAGTCTCAAGTTCTAAAAAATCAAACTCTGGTGCTCTGCATGAGAACAAAACAAGCAACGAGTTCATAAGATTACAACAGAAATCTGTATACTGAATTTCTAGGTGTAGGTCAATACATTTGAGGTTCTCCATTTCTCTGTAATTCGTCCCACAAACTTCCTTGTACTGCCCTGGTTACCTTGCTCCAATGCAGTGGCTTCAATGTAGACCTTCGAGGAGCTCCAGCAGGAGGTGCTTTTCCATAAAGTCCACGTCCTCTTCCGGAGGGAAGGCCTCTCCCAAGTGGAGGAGGTGCACCATTTGGAGGTCTTGGAGCTCCTGGTGGTGGTGGAGGGCCAGGTGTGCTAGGTGGTGGTGAAGGACCAGGTGTACAACCCCTTAGAGGCGGTGGGGGAGGTGGTGGACCACCAAGTGGAGGAGGTGGAGGTGCGCCTCCACGAGTTGGAGGAGGAGGCGGTGGCGGTGCTCCTCCACGACTTGGAGGTGGTGGCGGTGGTGGTGCTCCTCCATGACTTGGAGGAGGTGGTGGCGGTGGCGGTGCTCCTACACGGCTTGGAGGAGGTGGTGGCGGCGGTGCTCCTACACGACTTGGAGGAGGAGGCGGTGGTGGTACTCCACGACTTGGAGGAGGTGGAGGTGGCGGTGGTGCACGACTTGGAGGAAGAGGGGGTGAGGCCCCACTCTTAGGAGGAGGAAGAGGGGGTGGTGGAGGTGGAGCTCCACTTAGTGAAGGAGATACGGCACTACGCAAATTAGGTGGTGGGGGAGGTGGAGGTGGAACATAGCTAGGCAAGGAGGATGAAGTTAAACCATTTTGTGATAAGGGAGGTGGAGGTGGAGGTGGAGGTGGAGGAGGGGGTGGAGTACCTAGTGAAAGTGGCAGGCAGAGGGGTTGAGATGGAACACTACGTGAAGGTTGAAAGGGAGGAGGAGGTGGTGGTGGTGGAGGTGGAATTGAAGCACTATGTGAAAATGGTGTGGAAGGAGGCGGGGGTGATGGACCACTTCGTGAAGGCAAAGGTGGAGGAGGTGGAGGAGGTGGAACACCCTGTAAAACAGATTTCATATTTGCATGAACTGGCACACATAAGCTAGTAGGTCTAACCAAAGAAGGTGGTGGTGGAGGTGGCGGTGGAGGTGGAGGTGGAGGTGGAGGTGAAGGTGGAGTGGATACTCTGACAGTAGCAGATTGTATCACAGATGGTGAAAGTGCTGGTGGAGGAGGGGGTGGCAGTGGAGGTGGAGGTGGGGGTGGGGGTGGAGAGGATTCTCTAATGGTAACAGATTTTATCATAGATGATGAAAGTAATGGTGGAGGAGGGGGTGACGGTGGAATTGACATAGACTTTGACAGTGCCACATAAGAAGCTGCATTACCCCAGCTGGTTGAGATTGTTGATGCAGGCAGTGAGGGTGAGACCATATAAGCATTATCTGCACTGGAAATAACACAAGGTGGGGTAGGAGTTGGTGATACGGAAGTAGAGGCAATAATGCCAGTAGAAAACAGGGGCAAAGGTGGTGGAGGAGGGGGTGGAGGAGGTGGGTTAGTAGTAGAAACGATTAAACTCCGGCTTTCTTGTAGAGGTAAATGTTGGGATGGAGGAGAAGGGAGTGAGGCGCCACCTCCCTCTACATGTGTACACAGGACTTGAGATGATAATAAGGTGGTATGCTGATCCGGGAGTGAGGGATAAGGAAGTGGACACTCTTGCAGGTCTTGGCTCTCAACTGGAGAAGAAGTTGAAGGGGGAATTGGTGCAACTTCAGGCATTGACATGTCGGCTGATGACGAGCAAGGTGCACGACTAGCTGCATCAATAGTACCATTCGCTGAAGCAGTCGTGTCAGTAGAGCTACGAGTAGATGCTGGTTTTGATTTTCCACTTGACTGAGAATCCTTGGCAAGCACAAATGCAGGTGGAGCACTGTTATACCTTGATGGTGGGTACGATACATGCATTGAATTGGTATAAGAGCCTTTATTAGGAGGGATCCATCTGGATACAACATTTGGCTTTGCCAGTCTTGAAATATTCCCCTGAGATTCTTGTTGTTTAGATTTATTTTTGCCAATGCCATCGGATGAAGGTTTTGAGTTTGATAATGGCTGTTTCTTTGAAGCAGTCAAAGGTACTTTGTCAAACTTTTGCTTATTACTACTATCACCTCCAGTCTTATTTTCTGAAACATGCCTGTCTAGCTTCTTCTGTGAGAGTGCAGTTTCTTCGTATTGTTTATTCTCTGACACAACATACTCTTCCCTCATAATGTTAACATCTGCATGAGGATGAGTAGGATCAACCCCAATAACATGTCTGTGATGATTTCCTTCTTCAGATGCACAATCTTGAAATGAGTGATGGTCAGATTCCTCCTTCCAGACTACCTCATGGCTCTCATGGTCCCTCTTACTTTCTAGTGTGTGGTTATCTGAATCGCCTCTTGCATCTTGCCCATCAACTGGATTACTGAATATTTCTCCAACCTCAAAAAACTCCTCAGGTGAGGCACTTTCTGTCTCATTCCCATATTCATTTGATGCTTCGGTTGGTATAGTAGGAGGATCAACATCCACATCCGAAAAGAGTACCTAATACAAAAGTGAGCATGCTTCAACTCCTACAGGTTCGAATAAAACATTAAAAAGGAAGATGAATAAAAATAACCAACCTCTGCTCTAAAGTCCCTAGAAAATTGCTCTTTCGCGTCCCACAGGACATCAACATCTTCACGGGTTAGCATCAAAACATTTGACCTGATAAAAGCTGTGTTAAACATGACTCTAAACACCATTACTTCCCTTGCTAGATCATCATCCAGATGTATGCACTCAAGGACAATGTCCCCCTGGACACGGCAGTGTATATCTATTTTAACTAGCTCGCACTCTACCTGCAGTATGAGGACAGTTAAAAGTTTCATAACTGAGTCAGTTTAAGTATTTCAATCTGATTATTATCAAACTTTAGCATTACCTGTCGGTAGAATCTGGAATGCTTTTTTGTGCTTGAAGTTGAAAACAAGAGCTTGGAACTCCTGTTGGATGTAGTTGAAGAAGGATCCTGACCATAAACACGGACCACAGGTCGGCAACCCCTTCCAACCTCATATACAGGGATGACCCTTAGTATGATACAATCCAAAGCTAGAGGTGTATCTGATGGTGGCCAATCAGTTACAAAGTTTCTCCTAGAGATATACTGAAGATATCTAAGCTGGGATGGTTGTGGATTCAAAGGAGATAAAAGATGAAGAAGTTCCTTGGGTGCTTGTTTGTATACCATTTCAAGTGTCTTCTGCTCACCACTGTACTGCTTTCTGTACAAAAGGAGGCCTGCAAGCATGAAGGCCAGCACAGGCCATCCTCCTCTCTCACAGTGCATCAACAGAACATTTTGTTGGCCTTCAAGTGATAACCAACTCTCACTAGACCTAAGGAAGTGGTGGATCATTTCTAATGGTAATAGAGGACACCCTTCATATTGCCGAGGATAATCCATGACAGTCATATCATATTGCGATAAGATGTCAGATATTTGGCTTCTCTTATCCCCTTCTCTGAAGTTAAAAACCATGAAAGAAGCTTCCGGGTAATGCTCTTGTAGCTGAGCTACAATTCCGCCCATGTAAGACTTATACTCGTCTTCATCCAGTACATCAGTGGAGAAGCAGCAATCGAACACTGCGCATAACCAACAAAGAATAAATTCCCATCGCAAAAAACCACCATTTCAATGAATGCTTTTAGTGGCATTTTAATAGCCCCCCCCCCCCCCCCCCCACACACACACACAGCCTGCACATGTTTGGATAACAACAAATATCCTAGCTTTAAGTTGATTCCTATTGAGCTAAGAAAAATGAGCACGTGAACTAGATAATAAAGAGAAGCACTTCCAACTATAACATCCACTCTTTTAATAAAGCATTAGTGAAGTACTGCGAAATGTAGGTTGACCCAATCAACAGCCAGTAAATCCACAACTCGTCTTAACAAAAATGCGCAAGCTTGAGCTGAATTTGCAGTAAAGTCAAGCAAAAGTGGCACCTCAAAAATGAGACTGTACAAAATCCGAAGTCCCCCAAACAGGCATACACTCAACACAGGAACTGAAAATTCCGGGCAGGAAATGAGAAACATGTAAAAAATAAGGAAAAAGTAGGCACACCGTAGACCCGTTCAGAGATTTCGAGGAGCCGATCAGGCGGCTTTCGGTAAAAGAAACGCCTGAACAGCGCCATCTAGTGGCGCTGTTTCCACTGCGATCGGATCCAAACCCCGGACAACTCAATCTGCCACTTCGTCCCCTCCAACAGATCTCTCCACAGTCACATCAACTTAACAGCGCAGCCTCGAACAAAAACAACCAAAAAATCAGCTGCACAGCTATAATGAACTTAACCCAGAACTCCAGCAGTCCAGAAATCCTCAAATTGCAGCCCGCCTGAAAATATTACACAGGCACACTGTTGCAAGTTCAACTCCGGGAAACAGAAATGGAGCCGAGAAAGAAAGCGATGGCCGAAGGAGGGTTGGGGATCAAAATGAAAGAAGACTGCCAAATTAGGTGGTGCAGAAAAATGGAAAGTCGAAAATTTTGGGATTTGATTGTCGCAATTGTTTTAGAAAGCGTCACATGCTGTGAAGAGAGATGAGAGGGACAAAGAGGAACGTTGTGGACTGAAAGTGTGCGGAGAGGATGACCCGGATCCATATTTTGGTCAATTACAACCCGAATTTCTTGCTGGGGGTTTACGGGATTTGGCTGGCTGGCTAGATTGATGGTTCGGTGTTCATGTACCCGTGGACAACGCTGAGCCGCTAGTAACAATATATAGGAAGTACGAAGTATATGTAAAAGATCTCTGGGATTTGGAGTAATAATAAAGGACTATTTTCAAAAAAAAAAATTCAATTCATGACTAAAAAAATTGAAATAGATGTTATTAATTGACATTCTATTTAAATTAAATACATAAAAATTAATTACAGGCTTAAGGCATGTGCAGGAGACCTTAAACTGGTTTTAAAAAAGAATTGACACAAAACACTTTTTTATCAAAAAGTGTCAACTTTTACTTTTCAAAAAACATTTTTTGTCAAACATCATCCAATTTTATTGTTGGCGGGAAAGCAAAGAAATTATGTGAGGTGCATTTAAAACACTCATGTCTCGCCTCGTCACCACCATCTATTACATACATGCATTTATTTCAATATAAATGGTTGGCAATTCACATTCAAGAGCTTAATTTCGCTCTCTAGTTCTTTTGTATTCTCTCAACGTAGAATAAAGGGCCAGACTTCAGGCTCGATAAGTCTTCTGCCCTCGAACCGCGATGAATGAACCTCAATAAAGCGTTGTCTTTATATTCAATTTAAAAGATTACTTTTTTAAATAGAAGCAATATCAAACACTTAGTAAATCAAGCGGATGCTTTTGCACCAACTTAGTTAATTTGTCACTTGGATACTTTTCTTTTGTTAGGGCAAAGTTTGCAATATCTTTTCGTGTTGTACAGGTCTTCTATTGTGCTACTTGAGTATTGTGCCAACAATACTCCAATATTCATGAGTACCGTGCCAACGGTACTCCAATATTCAAAATAGTGTCACTTTAATTATAAATGTACTCAAAACGAGCATTACCATTAATAGGGGAAAATAGTGTTGATCAAATTTGACTCATGGGTGATGAAAGCTTGTTCACCTTAATAATAGTAGTGAATCCGAGCTGAGTGGATTGAGAATTTGTATATATACTTATAATTGGTAGGTTCAATAAGAATCTAAAGTGAAATTAGATGTTTTAGAATAATGTGAAGTGTTTTCTGAACTATTAAAGATGTTTTTACTTGGACTGTAATATGTCCTAGACCAGACCAGAACAGACCAGACCAGACTTGGATAGTTATAAAAATACAAAGAGGCCGGACATTACAAGACTAGACCAGACCAGTTCAGACCAGACCAAACCAGAAAATTACTGTCCAAGTAAAAATATCCTTAGTATTATCTGGTACTCTTGAAAATGAATGAAATTTGCTTGAAGATGTTAAGAGATCTTGTAGATGAAATTAAAGCATGTTAGAGATCATATAAATGACTTAATAGGTGTGACGCGCGCACATGTCTTGGTACGCTGGTTGTACCGAGCTGAGAATATATAGATGAACATTAATTGAGCCATGTTGCTTGCTAAAGATGATCACCCGGGTAGGCCATGGAGTTGACTAGAAATTTATAGAAGTATTGCTATTGTGATGTGATGTCTCTAAAAGGGGCGGAGGATTGTGATCTCGCACTACTCTAAATAGTGTGTTGGAGTAGCACGAATTCGTAAGGCATGTTTATCATAATAAAGTCATTACTGGGAATAGACTAGAGGACTTCACCCGGAACAACAGTGAATGACATGAACGGGTTGGCACAAACTCATAGATAGATCTTAGAGCAGTGACTTGACCTTACTCGACTTTAGAGAGCATGACTGGAGTGATTTAGCTGGGTGGCATAGACTCGTGATGAACTCCGACCAGGAATCAATGAGGTATTGAGTAACAAGCCAAGTAAGAATGTAAGATAATTAGATTGGCAACTATGTTACACTTAGGAACTTAATTAGATTATTATAACACGCATAATGTAACATCCTTAATTGTACATGCTTTGAACTCGTAAGCTTAACAATGAAACAAATGAATTAAAAAATGTGATTTTGGTAGGTAACGTCATTCTTCAAACTAAACTAACTAAAATATGTTTAAAATGAGTTGGATACATGTAGCAAATTAAGTCAGACTTAGACAACTAGACCAAATAAAAAATGATGTTTTAAAAATAATCATCTTGAAATGGACAAGCTTGACTAAATGTAGCAGAATTCGCTGACAAACGATGTTAGTATGGATTAGATTTAACTAACTTGAAAAAAAATGTTAGCTGATCCATCAAGTAGATGATCTATAACTAATATATTTATATTTCAAATGAAATCTATATACTTAGAATAATGTTTTTACTTGAATTGATTTTAACCTCATACTAGAACAATTTAAATATATCAGATTAGACTAAACTGAGATAGGTCAGATCGCACTTCGATAGTTGTATAATACACATACACCAGACATCCACCTGACTGGATCATACCAGACCAGAAAGTTACAATCAAATTAAAAAAAATAACCGCATCATGCGAACAAAGAAATTAAAGAAATTAAAGAAAACAAGGGTTACACATGACAAAAAAACTAAGTACTAGATCAATCAATGAAATTATAACATACTAGGAAAACACAAGTGAAACTTACCAGTAAAAACACCAAGGAACCAGGAGGCACAAACAAATACAAATACATCCATTAATAGATATTACACCATCTGCACAATTAAATTATTTCACATATATTAAATAGTTTTTCTGATGTGTGTTGCACGACAGATTAATGCCCAATACCAATATCGTAGCATACACATGTGTTTAGAATTTTTTTCAAAGATTTTTGTAAATAAATATACACATTTAATACAACCGAAGCAAGTGAACCTCATTTGAGATATAATACAGATTTGTTTTTTTTACAAACATTTGTTTTGAATCTCTGCATCGCTTGACTTCTTTTTAGGTTTGAATTGAAGAAGTTAAATAATAAATAAAGATATATTGTATTTACTCATACTCGTTTGTGAAGGTAAAATAATATGTATGTGTAAACTTAAAGAAGAATAGTTGTGTATTAAATTATAGTTTCGGATTTGTGTCCAAAATCGAAATGTTGAACCTTTGCATACGCAATAACCATCATGAGATGTTTTCAACATGAGGTTTTAACCACGTAAAATCTCATCCACATCCCAAGCACAACTAAAAACAAAATAATTGAGCAATAGCGACTTAGCGAGCAACATAAACAAGTCCAGATTTGCAGCGGCAGCGGCAAAATCTATAGCGGCGGTTGCGAAATCTATAGTGGCGGTTAGTTTTGAGGCTGCAGCGACGGCCGGTCCGATGACCTGTCGATGGCAGTATTTTTTGTCAAGCTTCATGAGTATTTTTGTCCAAGTACAAATAATAACTCCTAGTTAGGGAAGTTTTAAACTTAAGTCCTATTTTGACAATCAAGAATTTGGTTATTTCTATTTAGCCAAATCTCCCTACTCAAAAATGTTTCATATCACACTAAGTTTGCAACCTACATTAAGATTTTAGGTATATCTACTAAAATCTTAATATGTTGAACTTACCAAAATTCGAGACCTGAGCAATCAGAAAATCCAATTAAAAGTATTGCTAGAAGTGATCATTCACACCCACTAAACCCTATGTCCCCATGCCATGTATGCAGCTTTTGTGATCGGTAACAGTTGTGTGAATGGATGAACTATGCACAAAACAAGGAGCTACAAAAATACCTGTTTTTTATTCGAGAAAATCAAGTTGCAAACCACGTAAACGAACTAAAATCTCAGGTGCGGCAACGAAAGAAGTGAGGGGGGAGAAGAACGACAAGGAAATATGAAAGCTAAAATAGAGATAACAACATTCGGATAATAAGGCATGAACATAGGGTTAATAACATGCGGAACGATCAAGCGAATTTATCCAAAGACGCCTAGTAGGTAGCATGTCGACAATTGATGGCAAAAGAAGAAAAATGAAAAGATGAATAAATCAGGTTGAAATGAAAGTACCAAAGAATTAACAGTGTTTAAATTAATTGTGAACTAATGGAAATACCAAATAATATCAATTGGAAAGTACAACCTTTGCATTAAATGGAACAATTACATAATGCATTAATGTTATATCAACACATTTTTAATACCTAAATAATCCCTACATAACTAAAATAATAGTAATAGTAATAGTAATATAGTAATAATAATAGTAGTAGTAATAGTAATAGTAATAGTAATAGTAATAGTAATAGTAATAGTAATAGTAATAGTAATAGTAATAGTAATAGTAATAGTAATAGTAATAGTAATAGTAATAGTAATAGTAATAGTAATAGTAATAGTAATAGTAATAGTAATAGTAATAGTAATAGTAATAGTAATAGTAATAGTAATAGTAATAGTAATAGTAATAGTAATAGTAATAGTAATAGTAATAGTAATAGTAATAGTAATAGTAATAGTAATAGTAATAGTAATAGTAATAGTAATAGTAATAGTAATAGTAATAGTAATAGTAATAGTAATAGTAATAGTAATAGTAATAGTAATAGTAATAGTAATAGTAATAGTAATAGTAATAGTAATAGTAATAGTAATAGTAATAGGAATAGTAATAGGAATAGGAATAGGAATAGGAATAGTAATAGTAATAGTAATAGTAATAGTAATAGTAATAGTAATAGTAATAGTAATAGTAATAGTAATAGTAATAGTAATAGTAATAGTAATAGTAATAGTAATAGTAATAGTAATAGTAATAGTAATAGTAATAGTAATAGTAATAGTAATAGTAATAGTAATAGTAATAGTAATAGTAATAGTAATAGTAATAGTAATAGTAATAGTAATAGTAATAGTAACAGTAACAGTAATAGGAATAGGAATATGAATAGGAATAGGAATAGGAATAGGAATAGTAATAGTAATAGCAATAGTAATAGTAATAGTAATATAGTAATAATAATAGTAGTAGTAATAGTAATAGTAATAGTAATAGTAATAGTAATAGTAATAGTAATAGTAATAGTAATAGTAATAGTAATAGTAATAGTAATAGTAATAGTAATAGTAATAGTAATAGTAATAGTAATAGTAATAGTAATAGTAATAGTAATAGTAATAGTAATAGTAATAGTAATAGTAATAGTAATAGTAATAGTAACAGTAATAGTAACAGTAACAGTAATAGTAATAGCAATAGCAATAGCAATAACAATAGGAATAGCAATAGCAATAGCAATAGCAATAGCAATAACAATAGTAATAGCAATAGCAATAGCAATAGCAATAGCAATAGCAATAGCAATAGCAATAGCAATAGCAATAGCAATAGCAATAGCAATAGCAATAGCAATAGCAATAGCAATAGCAATAGCAATAGCAATAGCAATAGCAATAGCAATAGCAATAGCAATAGCAATAGCAATAGTAATAGTAATAGTAATAGTAATAGTAATAGTAATAGTAATAGTAATAGTAATAGTAATAGTAATAGTAATAGTAATAGTAATAGTAATAGTAATAGTAATAGTAATAGTAATAGTAACACTACAAAAAAAACACCCCATTAACAATGGAACTTTTCCAACCAAAAGATTTCGCTGGAAAATTTCCAATGGATTTCCAACAATTTTGCGACGCCGTCGTTGGAAAATCGCCGGAATTTCGTTGGAAATGTTTAAGATCATGTACGGATGGCATCGGTTGGAAATCCGTTGGAAAATCGTTGGGATTCCGTTGCAAAGCCGTTGGAAAGGTGTTGGAATTCCGCTGGAACTCTCACTCGTATTTTCTGTAAGGAATCCGCTGGAAATTTGTTGGAAAAGATATTTAATATTTAGCTTTGAACTAGCCATCGAAGACTTGGATAGCTTCTGGTATCAAAAACAACGTAAGTTTTGCATTTCTCTCTTATGAACTTACACTACATTGCCAATCTTTGTTTACCACATATATTTTTAGAATGTATAGGGTAGATAGAAATTGGATGTACCACAGATACGTTCCATTTACAGAAAATGTTTGTACTGAATTTATAAATGGGGTTGAGAGTTTTGTTTCAATTTGCTTGTGTTCAACATGAATTTACCAGTGGAGAAGAAATTCGTTGCCCTTTGTCGAAAGTGTGCAAACCGACGCTTTCATGATACTGAAACAGTAAAGCTTAATCTTTATAGACATGGATTTGTTGAAGGTTATGAATGTTGGACCTCTCATGGTGAGTTATTACAAGCTTCACCTTTTGTAGATTCACAAACACCTTCTTATGGATATACTATTGAAAATGATCATGGACATGCTAGTGAAGATGTTCATGGAACACATTCAGAAAGCCATGAGACAATGCCATGGGGTTAAAGGATGTTAGAAGACATTTTTGGTGGTCACATATCAACAAACTCCTCAAACTTTGATGCATCCAATGCACATGCAGAAGGACATGAATCACCAAACATGAATGACGTATAATACTTGGCATATCACTTCTAAAATGTATTGCGAGCTACTGATCAACCTTTGTATGATGGATGTACGGAAGGGTCACAATTACAATTCATTTATGAAGTGATGAGCATAAATCAGATTTTAATGCTCCACAAGATGAAGTGAATCAGTGCTTGGAATTATTTAGCCGATGCTTACCCCGTGACAACACTGTCCCAAGAAATTATTACGAAACAAAAAAAGTTGTAGCGAAATTGGGACTTCCAGTGGTGAAGATTGATGTTTACCCTAAAGGATGTATGCTCTTTTGGAAAAATGATAAAAAGTTGGAAGTGTGTAGATTCTGTGGTGAGAATCTTTACACATTTGATGCATATGAGAAGTGTCTGTCAAAAAGACGTAAGCGAACTGCTATTTCTGTATTACGTTATTTACCTTTCACACCGAGGCTGCAAAGATTATATGCATCACATCAGACATCTGAATCCATGATATGGCATTCCACTCATGAGTCAACGGGAACTTTGATAGGTCATCCTTCAGACAGGTGAGACTGTGAGGCATGGAAGCACATTGACGAAACATATCCCGACTTTGCCTCTGACCCGCGTAATGTACGACTTGGATTGTGCTCAGATGGATTTGCTGCACACGGGCAATATGGTGCATCATATTCATGTTGGCCCGTTATCCTGACCACGTACAATCTTCCTCCTGGTATGTGCATGAAATCCCCATACATGTTTTTATCTCTCATAATTCATGGACCAATGTGTTCTAAGAGGAAAATTGATATCTACCTACAACCACTTATTGATGAGTTGCGACATCTATGGGATGAAGGTTCCATAACATATGATGTGGCGAAAAATGAAATGTTTTCTATGAGAGCTATGTTGATGTGGACGATTAGTGATTTTCCTGCATATGGAATGCTATCAGGATGGAGTACTGCCGGCGTTTTAGGGTGTCCTATTTGTATGGAAAGTAGCAAGGCATTCCATCTTAAGTACGGTGGAAAGGCATGTTATTTTGATTGTCATAGACAATTCCTTCCACGAAGTCACTCGTATCGAAGAGATATAAAATCTTTCACGAAAGGGAGAAAGAAAACTAGTCGTCCACCTATTAGATTATCGGGGATGCAGATATATGAACGCCTAGAGGTGATACCTACATCAATTGATGATCCCCTTGAATTACCTGAAGGTTATGGAACCGAACATAAGTGGACGAAAAAGAGTATTTTTTGGGAGCTTCCATACTGGAAAAATTTATTAGTTAGACACAACTTGGATGTTATGCATATTGAAAAAAACGTGTTTGACAATTTATTTTATACAATCATGAATGACAAAGAAAGGACAAAGGACAACTTGAAGGCGCGGAAAGATGTTGGATTATACTGTGATCGTCCTGGTATAGGTGTGACATCAGATTTTGTTGATAAAATTAATAAGTCTATCTACATTGTCACAACAGCACAAAAAAAATTCTTGACTGGATTGCTTCAATTAGATTTCCAGATGGATATACATCTAATTTCCGTAGATGCATAAGTGCAGATAGTAACAAAGTTGTCCATATGAAAAGTCATGATTGTCATGTTTTTATGCAAAGACTTGTTACGATTGTGTTTCGAGAGATGCTACCCACCCCAGTGTGGCAATTAATTGCTGAGTTAAGTCAATTTTTTCAGACTCTATGCACGCGCGTAGTTGACACTGAAATACTTGAACAATTGGAGAAGTATGTTTATCTTCTTCCATGCAATATGGAGAAAGTATTCCCACCGGGATTCTTTACTGCATCCGTACATTTAATTGTGCACTTACCATATGAAGCTAGAGTATGCGAATCAGTGCAATACAGATGGATGCACATGTTTGAGAGGTAAATATTAGTTACATTTTATCATATCAAACATATGATATGTGACCTATTATAAATGATGCATTATTATTACAGGTTTCTTGGTACCCTCAAAAAGAAAATCACTAATAGAGCGCACATTGAGGCACCGATTTGTGAGGCATACATTTATGAGGAGCTATCAACTTTCTCCTCCTACTATTTTGAATCAACAATACGATCTAAACGTATGAGACCTTCTCGAAACGATGACGGTGCTTCTTCTTCAGGATCAATGGCGTATTCAATTTTCAATCATCTCGCTCATGGTCATGGAAAGTATAAGTTACGGTACATTGTGGGTGAAGAGTTAAAAGTTCCATACACATATATCCTACTGAATTGTGCTAAAATCCAACCATATTATGAGTATGTATTTTTATGTGCTTATATGACATATATTAATTCACTTTGTATGACATGTGATTGTTAATTAGAATTGACTTTGTATTATAGAATATTTGCAAACCTCATTCAATCACAAGGTCACACAGACTTGGATCGTATTATCGCCAAAGATTTTGCAGACTGGTTCAGCGATTACGTAAGTATATTACACACTTTAACAATCAAAGGTGTCATTATTTATCCTTTACATATATTATGTTGCACATGTGTAGGTCAAGAATCCTTACAATGGAGTGTCCGATCCTTTTATAATAGCACTAGCATGTGGGTTAAATTCCCGGGCAAAAGCATGGCCTGCATACATGGTGTAGGTGGCTATACCTTTCACACTACATCTTATGGAACTAGGAAGAAAACATTTAACAGCGGGGTATGTGTTCGATCATCAAATTACAACAACTCGAGTACAGATTGGATCGGCACCTTGGAGGAGGTACTTGAGGTCGACATACTTAGTCCCTTCAAGCTTCAAATCGTGCTCTTTAACTGTAAATGGGTTGATCCTGTGCGGGGTATGTGAGTGCATGACAAATACAACATTATAGATGTGAAGTTAGATTGTATCTATCAAGTCTTTGAACCATTTATCTTAGCTCAACAAGCAACTCAAGTGTTCTTTTTAGAGTATCCAATGGGCCGCACTACAACTTTGCGAGGCTGGAAATGTGCATGCAAAGTAAGAGCACGAAATATTGAGAGGTGCTTAGTGTACACACCCCTTTACACATATGTGTACACATTATAAATAGATTTTTTTATATCAAATTTTACCCCCCTCCCACACCACATCACACCACACGTGCTTCTCTTTTCTCTCCCTCTTCTATTTTCTTCTTCCTCTCCAAGCTTCCTTGGTAGACATCACCCTCTTTACTCTCCTATTACAAGGGTCCATTTTTCCATTGTTTAGGAATGGATTCCATAACACCACCAACTGGAGAAGATTGGTATGAAGAGTTGATGGAAACGACGACAACCGGAGATGGTAATACAACTTTGAATAATGGGTAACGGTTCAACATGAACATGGACGCCATGGACGATTTAGGTATCTATTTAGAAAGTGTTTAATGTTTGTTCTCTTTATTTTTGTATTTTTTTTTGGGGGGGGGGGAATGACTTCTTCTTGTAGTCCCTATGTACACAGACAACTTATAATTACTGTGTACACAGACAACTAATATACACGGACAACTTATATCTGTATACAGACATTTAGTGTGTAAAAGGTGTTTATGGTGTTTTATGTATTAATGTGAAAACAGAGACAATTTGGTAACTCAATCCATGGGTAAATGCATGAATTATTTATGAATTATCATATAAACACATCTTAAAGGATGCACTATACATATTAGCATATTAAGACAACTAATTAATGTCTGTATACAGACGAATACTGTCTGTATATAGACAAGTATTAACTGTGTGTTATATATGTTTAGAGACACAAAAATGTAATTATGAGTATTGTGTAACAGATGGACAAGAAGATAACAACAATGTTAAAGCTCCAGAATTGGGCATGAAGTTTGGTAGCATGGAAGAAGTGTATGATTTTTATGCGAAATATGCTATAAATAGCGGATTTCCTGTACGAAAAAGAACATCAACCAAAGACAAAACTGGAGGGTTTTTAGTAGAAGTAGTAATAGAGTGTTCTCGTGCGGGGCGTAGATGTAGCAAGTCCCAAAATTGTTTGAAACCCCAACCTTCAATGCAATTACAATGCTTAGCACGAATTAGAGCACGTTTTGATTATGCCGGGTCATGGGAAATTTCAAGAGTTCATTTAGAACATAACCATGATATGAGTCCTACAAAGTCAAGAATATTTCGTTGCTATAGACAATTACCTCCTCAAATGGCGAGACAACTAGCAATAAATGATGTTGCCGGAATACCGGTTAACAAAAGTTTCAACTCGGCGGTTGTTCAAGCGGGTGGATATGATCAATTGCCTTTTATTGAGAAGGATTGCCGGAATTTCGTAGATAAAATTCGCCAACTTCGATTAGGAAGTGGAGATGCAATGGCAATCCAAGGGTTTTTTGCAAGAATGCAATCGCAATGTCCCGGATTTTTCATTACCGTTGATTTAGATGAGGAGTCAAGGTTGAAAAATGTGTTTTGGGCCGATAATCGTTGTAGATATGCTTATAAAGACTTTGGGGATGTCATCACATTTGACACCACTTATCTAACTAATCGCTATGACATGCCATTTGCACCATTTGTCGGTGTTAATCATCATGGCCAATCCATATTGTTAGGTTGTGGATTAATTTCGAGCGAAGACACAGAAACATTTGTTTGGCTTTTTAGAGCATGGCTCGATTGTATGGGTAATTGTGCTCCAAAGGGAATTATAACCGACCAAGATCGTGCAATGCAAAATGCCATACAAATTGTTTTTCCAAACACGAGACATCGTTGGTGTCTATGGCACATAATGAAGAAGCTACCCGAAAAAATGGGAGGACGTAACGAAAAAGAAGACATAATGAATGATATACACGAAGTGGTTTATGATTCTCAGTTCATACAAGACTTTGAACGTGGCTGGCCAGCAATGGTACAAAGGTATATCTAGCAAATTAGGTCCAGACATGTATTGTCTGTGTACAGACAAACACTGTCTGTATACAGACAACAACTTTCTGTTTGTAGACAACTAATGATTATTGTAGAACACTAATGATTATTGTAATAGGCATTCCCTTGAAGAAGATGAATGGATTCAAGTGATGTACAATGAAAGACACTGTTGGGTTCCTTGTTACTTGAAGCCTACATTTTGGGCGGGTATGTCTACAACCCAACGAAGTGAAAGCATGAACGCGTTTTTTGATGAGTATGTGCACTCCAAAACTAGTTTGAAGCAATTTGTGGAGCAGTATGAACGTGCATTGAGAGCAAAAGTGGAAAAAGAGTTTCAAGCAGATGCTCATTCATTTTCCAAGATGATTCCATGTGTTACCACATTTGCAATGGAAAAACAGTTTCAATGCGTTTACACACTTGCAAAGTTCAAGGAGTTTCAAAATGAAGTGATTGGTAAGGTGTATTGTGACCTCTTCCATTGGGATGAAGGAAATACATTTCATGTCCAAGAGCATATAATGGTAAATGACTTTCGAAGGACTGTGAAGTTCATTGTTGAGTATGATTCATTAAGTCGTGTAGGAACGTGTAGTTGTCACTTGTTCGAGTTTAGAGGCATTGTGTGTAGACATTTGATTACTGTTTTCATCCGTAATGGAGTCAACGTCTTACCGGACTGTTACATAATGACAAGATGGAGAAAAGATGTGAAGAGAGCTTACACTCGGGTCAAAATGAATTATGAAGGGTGGGTCACAACGGTGGAACAACAAAGGTTTGATAAATTGTGTCAAACATTTGAAGCACTTGCAAACACAATTGCGGATGATGAGGAGAGATACAAAAGCGTAATGATTTGGTTGGAATCCCAATTACGTGAGTATAGTGCAACCCGTAGCCATCCATCTTCTATTTGTGGTATGATTACACAAGTGCCGGAGATAACAACAATGGTACAAGATGGCCGCCACATACAACAAATTTTTTATCCAAAATGTTCAAAACGTAAAGGTGCTCCAAGAAAAAATAGGCAAAAGGGACCACTTGAAAAGGGAAGTAAGAAACAAAAGGTTAGTAAATACTTTTTCCAGACACTAGTTGTCTGTATACATACATTAGTTATCCATGTACAGATAGAAATATTCCTGCACAGACATTAGTTATCCATGTACAAATTAGTAAATACTTTTTCCAGACACTAGTCGTCGTATTTTTATATTGTGCTCGCATTTACCCCTTTTAATACTCATGTTTCTTTATGTTCATATGTATAGGGAAAGAAGGCGAAGCAAAATGGTGTTGAGGGCAATGCAAATGGATCCAAAGGAAATGTTGTTGAAACTAGGATGCCAATCACATTCAATGATGATTTAGACTTGAATCTTCATTTGTTTTGAATTAATGTTGTGTTTCGGACATGTTTCGACCTCCATGTTAATTGAATGATGGCGATGACTATGTAATTATTTGAATTTAAACGTCATATTTTTTTTGTGGACAATGAATATAAACTAAAAAAATTGTACAAAAGTAGTGCATTGTACCAAACAATATTGTACAAAAATGGACATTGTTCATCCAAAAATAAGAAAAGTGTCAAATGAGTCCACGTACTATATTGAAAAAGTCAATTGAGTCCATATACTATTTTATCAATCAATTGGGTACACAAAGTCTCAAATTTTAACCAAATTTGTCATTTAACCGGTAAACAACCGGTGACCCATTTTTTTGCTGATGTGGAGGCCACTTAGGCTTTTTTATACTTTTTCCTTTTTTCCATTCCTTCTTTCTTTCCCTTTTTTCCTTTCTTTTCCCCTTTTTTCTTTCTTCATCCTTTTTCCCCTCTGGTGACCCATTCCGACGCCTGCAACCCCCCCCCCTCTTCATTCCCTTTTTTCTTTTTTCCCCTTCTTCTCCAATCTCCCTGCAACCCCTCTCCCCTATTCTTCAACCTCTTCTTCTCCACTGCTTTTACCCCACGCCCCCACCCAATTCAACATTTCAACCTCCCCCTCTATTCTTGCAATCTTGCCCACCCCTTCTCCTTTCCTTTTTCTTTCTATTTCCTCTTCCTTTTTCTCTTCTCTAATCCACTTCTTCTACTCCACTCAACCTTCTATCCCTGTCTTTCATGGCTGGAGAAGGCAACCCAACTAAAACCCGATGAAAACCCCAGATCTTCTTCGATGGCAACCAGACGGCAACGGAGAAGGTGGCGGCAGAGCTCGACGCCGATGGTGATGCCGGCGGCAGAGCTCGACGCTGATGGTGATGCCGGCGGCAGAGCTCGACGCCGATGGTGATGACAGCGGCAGAGCGAGACGCCGGGGAAGACGGCGGCGGAAGTGTTCTGCGGGGATGGCATTATAAAGATGGAGTGGTGTAGATGGGAAGAAGCAAGAAAAAAGAGTAAGGGAATAAAGAAAGAAAAGAGAAAGAACGAAGAGACCAAGAGAAAAACGAAGAAAAGGCGGAGAGAGAAAGACTTAAAGAAAATAAGAGAAGGAAATAAAAAAAGAAGATTTTTTTTAAAAGGAAAGAAGACTTTAACGCCACATGGATGTCCACATAGGCAGATTAACAGGGAAAACCGGTCAATAACATGATAAAAGGCAAATTTGGTCGTTTTTTGTAACTTGGTAGACTTAATTGATTAGAAAAATAGTATGTGGACTCAATTGACTTTTTTGAAATAGTAGATGGACTCATTTGACTGTTTTC